TCTGATGCTTTTCTCCACCATCCCATGCACGCCCAGTTCAATGGCAATGGCCTCATTTCCTCCATTAAATAATAAAGCAATGACCTGCTTAATCCCAGCCAGAGCAATGAACCCACTCCTAGATTAGAGCACACAGTCACAAATATCTTATTCATCTATTTGGGGCATTGGAAAGCCAAATATATTTTTACACTTTGGGTTAGACAGGTAAGAAAAAAACTCCAAGGCGCCAGTAACAAGAGTCATGAATATTGAGGACAACCCTTCAAAGCTTAGCCCCTTAGAGGCCTTTAAGGGAAGCAGCTGCAGGAGTAAAAAACTGCATCCCCAGCCTAGTTCATCACAAAGTGGAGCCCTTTTTTTAAAAACTGCTTAAACGTTTTGAGTAGAAACAAAACAGAGATTCAAAGGCCTGCATCTGGTAAGATGAAAAGGCTTTGGGAGGCTGCTTTCTGGAGCTCTCCCAGGAGCAGTTGCTGATGATAGGAATAACTCACTCTTGAGTAGCACATTCTTTCCTTTGAATGAAGCTTAAGACAGCATTAGTGGTTTGGGGAACTGAGTCACCAGTACCTACTCCAAATCCTTGCCTTGAGTGCTTCATTGGGTTATGAAGATGACCCTCGATTTTCAAAGGCTACAACAGCAGAATGAAAGCGTGGCAGGTTTATTATGCCAAAAATGGCACAGACAGATGATGTCTGCTTTTTGAAGGGCCGTTCTAGCAAGTTAGGCACACATAGGCTGTCCAATTGGTGATGAATTCCTTGGTTGTGACAACTGATGAAACGAAGAAAAAATACAAAATGATACATAATGGATAAAGTACAGCCGTTTTCACTACCATGACAAGAGTGAGAGTGGTAGTAGTAGCAGTAGAAGGACAGAAGAGAAATCCAAAGGCACTAAGAATCCCATAGTTTTATGACTATCTAGAAACATGATGGGCAGCTAGGTGGCACAGTGGATAGAGCATTAGGCCTGAAGTCAGGAAAACTCATCTTCTTGAGTTGAAATCCAGCCTCAGACACTTACTAGCTATGTGACCCTGGGCAAGTCACTTAACCCTGTTTCCTTGTTTATAAAATGAGCTGCAGATGGAAATGGAAAACCATTCCAGTATCTTTGCCAAGAAAACCCCAAAGGAGGTCACAAAGAGTAAGACACGACTGAAAAACTTCTGAACAACAACAAAAAGAAACATGAACTTAGATGGTGAGATCCTTATCCATGCACTAATAATTAGTCAATACAGTGCTCACATAGTAAGTACTTAATACATACTTCTTGACTGATGGATTGAAAATCTGAAGCATGTCAATCTTGAAGGCCTAACAATAAATCAGAGGCTCTTAACCTTTTCCATATCATAAACTCCTTTTCAGAATAATGGTTTTAAAAGCATAAAATCAAATACATAGATTACAAAGAAAATCAATGATATTGAAATGCAATTTTCAAAATATTTAAAGTTCCAAGTTCACAGCTGCCCCCTAAAATCTGTCCACTTGGGAGGCTGTGGATGCCTGGCTAAGAATCTCTTCTATAAATAAATGAAAGTAAGAAATTAAAAATAGCTGCCCCTAACCAAAAACAGTGGTTCCCAGGTTTTCCCTAGAGAAGTTGTGAAGTCAGTTTTGTTGAATGTCTAAAGGCAACATGAAAAATAATTCCATCAGATATTTGGTCACCTAATTTGTAGTGCTCATGCTAAGCACTTATAAAATAATTTAAAGAAAATAGTTTGAGTTTATGCTTCAACATGTATCATTAAAGATAACTCACCGCAGAGAAATTCTACTAACTTGAGGAGATCCTTGAAATTAAATCTTGGCAACTTCAATGCAAAGATGGCCATAAAGGAGAGATGACTACATTGAGGAGGTCACAGATCAATCCATGTGCCAAAGAAGTCACACCAGTGAGTCATAGTGAACACACATTACATAGTTACATGGCTAGTACATGTTGAAAACAGGGAGCCTGGGTATTTCAGTTTCAGGTCCAACACTTTCCACCGTGTCTGGGTAAATGGCCATATCATTGACCGAAACAAGGTAATTGGGAGGCAAGTAGGTTTCAGATGATAAAATTGATTTCATTTTGGCACTTGTTGAGTTTGAGATGCCAGTGGACTGTCCAAGTAGATAGAGCTAGAGAGAGAGTGGTGGTATGATAGATTGATAGATAGATAGATAGATAGATAGATAGATAGATAGATAGACAGACAGACAGACAGACAGACAGACAGACAGACAGACAGACAGACAGACACAGATTGCTGCATTTGGACTGAGCAAGCCCTAAATCCAAATTCTGCCTCCAGCACTTGCTAGCTGTGTGACTCTGATCAAGTCACTTATCTTCTCTCTCAGCCTCAACTTCTTCCTCTGTAAAATGAGGATAGCACCTACCTCACAAGATTATTATGAGGATCGAATGACATAACACGTGGAGCACTTTGTAAACCTTAAAGCACTACATAAAGCCTAGCTATCATTGGCATCATCCTCATTATTATTTCTAACCTATTCTATCTCTGTTTTTGTTCTTAACTGGAAAAATAGGATTTCCTTTGACCTTCCCTATAACTACTATGTTCAGACTTTAAATAAAGAACCTGGTGATGATCTCAATGGACAACCTCCTTTGCAAAGTTTCTCTAGGCAAGCACTATGGGGTTTTCCAGATCTAAACCCCTCCAACTCCCAGATTGCTCCAGAAGCGGAGCTGCCTACATTCCCCATCCTCACCTCACTGAATTTCTTGCCGTTTCATCAACAATCTAGCCAACCAGAAACCACAGCTGTTTTCTTAATAAACCCTTGCCATTATATTTGTGCTGACACCAAATAACATGGGATCCGTGTCACACAGTACACACAACAAACACGATGTCAGCTATGAGAAAGCTTTCCCCACATGGATCTCACCAACAGTCTTGTTTCCCAGAATTAACATGAAATAGACACTTTCACCTTCTTGTTGTCAAATAGAAGAGGAAACCAGCAGAGATTGTTTTCATTGGGTCATTGACCGAAAAGGAGAACCCAAAGCATTGCTCAGAAAGCCCCTCATTTTTGATGCTTCTCATCACTAGAGATGATTCATTTGAGGATAGTTTTCCATTGGTTCATCTGCTTCTCCAGGGAAAAGGACTGCTTTGGGTTTATTCAGGCTATGGCTGACACAATGTTGCACATGGGATTATAGCTTTGGAGATGGATGAGAGCAAAGATTTCATCTAGTCCAGGCCCTCACTTTACAGAGAAGGAACCTGAAGCTCAGGGAGGGTTGACCTGGGGTTTGCTCAAGGTCACTAAGGTAGAAAGTAGCAGAACCAGGATTTGAATGCAGGTATTCTGATTCCAGACCCTGCACTCTAGATACTGAACCATGATGCTTCTCCTCAAATAAACTGGCCCCATATGACCTTCAACTTATAATCACCACAATCTAAACAGCTAAATTAACTACCCTTAACCTGTACACTTTTTGTCCTAGGAAATAATAACTGATAGAACTCAGTCAAGTATTCAGACACTGGTCCTTATGTCCAGCACCCACTGATGATGCTAGAAACTGACCTGGAGTCAAAAAGCTGTACTAAACACAAGAAATCTGGTGTTTAGGGAGATTAATTATAATAATAACAATAATCACTGACATGTAGCATTTTTAGGTTTGCAAGATATATTACTCAAATGATTGCATTTCATCTTTTTTTTTTTTTTACAAATGAGGAAATTGAAGTTCGGAAAGCTTGAGTGACTTAACAGAGCACTAGCTTCCTTAAGTGGCACAAGCCAGTGGTTCTTATCAGTACACATAGCATGCTTCTCCATAGCCCATTTTTGGTGATCATTCTCTTGAGGAAATATGTGCCAGATTTGACTGTTAGACCCATGACTTATCCCTCACCTCACAGTTGACAGAATGGCTTGAACCATAGGCTTGGAGATAGAAAGGACCTTAGAGATCACCTAGTCCACTCCTGCTCATTTTCCAGATAAGGAAACTGAGGCTAGAAAAGGTTAAGTGCCCTGCCTACTGATGTTGCAGAGCTGAAATCTCAAGCCAAGGTAGATTCTGCCTTCATCTCCAGCACTGTTTCTATAGTAGTCCCAGCGACAGGGAAGTCACTACCCTATTCGCACTAATGCTGGTGCTTCACTGCTTCCCTTGTAATGCTAGCTTGCAGTCCATTAACAACCTAAGATCTTTCAAGCAAATTGCTACCTACCTCCACATCAATCAATCAAACAATAAACCTTTATCAGGCTTTTGTTATTGTTCAGTCGTTTCAGTCATGTCCCATTCTTTGTGACCCCACTTGGGGTTTTCTTGGCAAGGGTACTACAATGGTTTGCCATTTCCGTTTCCAACTCATTTTGCAGATGAGGAAACTGAGGCAAACAGGGTTAAGTGACTTACCCAGGGTCATATTGCTAGTAAATGTCCAAAGCCAGATTTGAATTCAGGAAGATGAGTCTTCTTGACTCCAGGCCTGGTAGTCTACACACTGCTCCACCTAAACATCTATTTATTTGCCAGGCTCTTTGCTAGGAATTTGGAGATGTCAACACAAAGAATAAAACAATCCCCACATTCACATATTTGTAGTGTAGTTGATTGAGTAGTTGATTTTTTAATTTAATAAAGAAGGCTTTACATTTATTTTTATTGAATTAAGCCCATCATCCTAATCTTAGACCTTTCAGGAAACAACTCTTTCATCCAAAATAGTAGCTTTCCCTCACAGCTTCAAACCATCAGAAAATTTTCTAAGGATCGGAATATAGAGTTTCATCTGAGCCACTGATAAAAGCGTGTAAGAAATATACCATCAAGGATATTAATGAAGTTTCCCATCTTACATTACAGAATAAGTGAGGATATAAAAGTAAATGTCTAGATTCTTTTTGATATCTATGGACAACTCAGCCAGAGACAATGTGCCTTTCTACATAAAGAACCCTGACTCTGCTTTCTATTTGCAGATTTCCAAAGCCGGCATGGAAGGGACAGTCCTTGCCCCTTGGGCCATTGCCCTGCTGATCTTTGGTGCTGTGCTGATAATGACCTCACTGATGATCCTCCCTCCTGTCACTCTCCTCATCTGGAGAATCCACCAGATGCCAGAGATCTCGCTGGTAGGGGCCATATAAGTCCAGGCCCCTTCCAGACCTCTGCTGACTCCCAGATTGTTCTGTCTTAGATGGCGTTACCCAGACCAAAAAGTCTTGGGCCATTTATGAAATTCACATAGCCCTTACCTCCCTGTCACAAGCTTTCAGTGGTCTTCCGTATCAGACAACTGCTTCCCTTTGTAGAATCACGGAATGCAAAAGCTTGAAGCAACCAAACTCTCCATGGTACATATGAAAAAAAAAATTGAAGGGGAAGGGACTGGCCCAAAGCCACACAGATAGTAAATGGCAGAGCCAAGAGTCAAACCTAGGTCTAACCATAGGTCAGAGCATTAGCTCTTTCCCCTTTTTTTGAACGTGTCCAATTGAGATCATATTTCAATGTGTCCTTCTAGGACCTGGTGAATTGGCCTCCTATTACTACATAAAATGCCCTGACTACACACAGCAGATAGGGAGCCAAATGGACAAAAACTTCATCTTTGTTCTTTCACCCTCAAAGTGGCTCTCTGGAACCTCTGTTGATATAGTAACAATGCAGAATTACAGATAACAATAGCTTAAAGGACTTTAGAGATAAACTAGGTTAACCCTCTCATTTTACAGCAAAGGAAGCAGAAGTTTCCCAGAGAGATTATGTGATTGGCCCATGGTCACAGAAAGTAAAGAGGACAGCTGAGATGTGAAGTCTAACTCCAAGTATAACACACTACCTTGTTAGAACCAGCACAATATCAATGCCATTTTCTTAAGACACTCTTGCTCTGACTTATATACATGAAGCAACGAGTTGGTTGCCATTCAATTGATCAACCAGCAAGCATTTATTAAGCACTTACTATGTGCCAGACACTGTTCCAGGTGTTAGGGATACAAATATAAAAGTAAAATAGCCCTTACCCTTGAGAAGCTTACATTCTAGCTAAGAGAAACAATATAGGTAGGTAGGACGATAGAATAGGATAGATGGAGAGAGAGAGAGAGAGAGAGAGAGAGAGAGAATTTATGAAATATATACAAAATGGTACAAGATAATTTAGAGGGGTAACACACTAGCAGTTAAGAATTCAGCTTCATGTAGAATGGAGGTATTAAACCCACAGGCCACATGCATCCCATGATATTCTTTACTGCTGCCTGAAAAAAGATTAAAATGTAATTGGAAATTATTAAAAAAAATAAAATATAAAATTACATTTTAAAACTAAGTCAATATGCAGCCACCAAGAATCTTATGTATGGATTAGTGACCCTGTTTCTATTTGATACCAATAATGTAGAAGATGGAACTTGGGATGAACCTGGAAGTAAACTGGATTTATAAGAGATGAAGGTGAAGAGAACTGTCCAGCATGGTGGGGGTTAGTGGGGATGTTGGGAAAGGGAGTCAACCAGAGAAAAGACAGAGATGAGAAATGGGGTGCTATGTATGAGGAACAGAAAGTTTGGCTGAACCATATTATAAAGGAAGGAGAATAATGGGTAATAAGTCTGGGGCAAAAAAGGTTGAAGCAAGATTGTGAAGGATTGTTATTGACAATGAAGCAAAAGGGAGCCACTGATGTTTATTGACTAGGACAATAACATGATTAGACCAACACTTTAGGAAAATAACTTTTACAGCTATGTAGAGGATGGATTGGATTGAGGTGAAATGGGGCATAGAAAACAATGACAAGGCTATTTCAATAGTCCAGGTGATAAGGGCCTAAAGGAGGTGAGAGACTACATGAGCAGAAAAAAAGACATATGCTAGTATCAAACTCTGGGGAGACCCTGGGAGCCCTACCCGCAGTTTCTAACTGCTCCCAAGAAAACCCACACATACCCCAGCAATTTCCAACAGCCCCTATTCCTGGTACACTTGGCAAAGCTAACCCAAGTTCATTTCTGTGACTGTGTTTCTGTAACTCTTCAATGCTCCCCTCCTCCAGCTCTGCTATTCTGTGTACCCAGACTATATGCTCTCCATGATATTTCCCATGACGGTGCCTAATGAGAACTCCATTCTCCCTTTCCTCCCTGGGCATCTCTGTCTGAATAAGGCAATATGTTGTCCCAAATTGCAATTCCTTGACCTTGAATAAATGCCTCAGTTTATTTACTGATCACAGAGTTGTTCTGAGTTCTTCCAACTTGACACTAGAAATGTTGTGGGGATAAAAAAACAACAACTATATTTGGTAACTGATGGGATATATGGGGTGAATGAGAATGAAAAATCAAGGCGATACTGAGCCTTCAAATCTAGTGGCTAGAAGCATGGTGATACCTTCAACAGATAAAGGGAAATTATTTAAATAAACACAATGAAAGTTCTGTATCCAAAGGAGAATTCCCTTTCTTTTAGTCACCCTGAAATGAAAGATCCTATTCCAACCATGTCACTATTGCTTAAATATGAGTTGGGAACTCATCTCCAAGAATGGGCTTCTGTGCCAATGTATGCTTCATGCAAGAAAGTCAGTCTCATGACTTCTTAGGCACACCTTGTTTTTGACCCAAAACAGCCTTACTCTGTTGGACCACTGTTTTGTTTGTTTCGTTTTGGCCAGACTTGGTTCTAAATAATTTTTGCTTTTATCCAAAGATCCTCAAGGGAGGAGGACTGATCATCTCTAAGGATAGTCACAGATTCTTAGCTGATCAGAAAAGGAATGTGCCACACACAATCTCTGACAGCAATTCCAGAAGAGTTCCAAAGACATGCCAAAGACAGCATCCTAATATGTGGGAGCCTCCACATAGGTGGCTATTGTGAAGGGCAAAACATTCATCAGAAGCATACATGTTCCACTGGGTTTGTTTTAAATACATATAAATATAAAAGCCACCTTGCAATCAACTTTCATAGTTCATATCCAAGGAATTTTTCTCTCTTAGGCTGACACAGGGGCAAGGACTATAACATATTAATCAACTGCTTTAGGGACGTTAGTGGAAAGAAATTATTTAAAAAAGAAACTGTAATGGTATTATGTGCCTAAACTTACAACTGCCCCAATTCTTGAAGCACTGGACCTGAAGGAAAAGGAAGGCTAAGCCTAAGGCAAAGCAGAAATTCAGCTGGCTTGGTCCCTGCTCCTTTGTATCTCATTCTGCTAGAGTGAGCAGCTGTCTTTTCATCTCACTCCATGATAGATTGATAGATAGATAGATAGATAGATAGATAGATAGATAGATAGATAGATAGATAGATAGATAGGTAGATAGATAGATGTGGATGGTTGGATAGAGAGAGAGATGGATGGATAAATGGATGGATGGATAAGTGGATAGATATTAAATACTTATCATGTGCCAGGCACTGTATTAAGCAAAGGGAATACAAACACAAGCAATGAATCCAGTCCCTGCCTTTAAGGAGTTTGCTTACATTCTAAGTAAGGGGAAAACAACACTTAAGTTAGTGATTCTGTGACATCTCAGCTATGTCAAGAAGTATTACTAAGTTCAGAATGAAAAAACCTCCAAAATAATTTTAAGTCATCCAGAAAAATCACTTTTCATTCTTTTTAATCTAAAAGAAATATGTTCTATATAGTCCTATTTTGTGTATGTGATGGAAAAGGGTTCCAAAAAATAATAAAAGATAGTATGTGGTATAAACCATGTGAAAGACTCTCACATGTTTAGAAAGGCCCAAGTATATTTTTTTTCTTATTTAATTACTTCTTATTCTAAATTTAACACTCAATAAAATGGATATTTCCACATACAAAAAAAATAAACAAACAAGGATTGTACATGAAACGGTGAATCTCTAATATATTAAGTTTGTATTTCCTTTGAAGTACATAATAAATTTAACCTATAACTTTCAAAGGTATAACATTTGTATTTCATATGGGTCTTATTCTGGTTCTTCCTGTGAATTTTTTTAATTAAATTTTATTTTTTCAGTTACCAAGAGCTTTTTTTCTTCTTCTTCCCACATCCCTTCCCTCTCCCCACTGGGGAAAAAAAAAGAAAAGAACATCAGAATTCTTATTAGTTAAGCAAAAGAAATTCCCACACCAGCCTTGTCCAAAAACAGGTCTCTTTCTGCCCATCGCTTCTCTGTCAGAATGTAGGCAGCACTCTTTATCATCAGTCCTCTATAATCATGAGTGATCATCACACTAAGAGTTTTTAAGTCTTTCAAATATGGTATTGGTGTTTCAGTGTGAAGTATTTTCTGGGTTCTTCTCACTTCATTCTGCATCAATCTATATGTATCTTCCAAAGGTTTCTCTAAATTTACTTTGTATTTCTTCACTTTAAATATGTCTATTCATAGCTTTTGGCCATTTATCAATTGGAAAACAGCTTATTCTTATAAACTTGAATTGATTCCTTGTATATCTTGGATATGAAACCATATCAGAGAAGCCTGATGCAAAGATTTTCCCCCTCAGTTATTTTCCCCTCTAATCTTAGCTGTACTAGATTGGTTTCTGTGCAAAAAATAAAATAAAAAATTACATTTTAAGAATTTTTTATTTTTTTTCTTTTCAGGCAATTGGGGTTAAGTGACTTGTCTAGGGTCACACAGTTAGTAAGTGTCAAGCATTTGGTCTGAGGCCGGATTTAAATTCAGGTCCTCCTAACTTTAGGGCCAGTGCTCTATCCACTGCGCCACCTAGCTGCCCATGAATTTTTTTAATACTATTTTCTTAACACTTTTTCTCTGCTCCCCAACCCCTCTTTGCACAGAAGAAGACAGTTATGTAATAAAAATGTGTTCAGCACTAATGCTCTAGGGCTTTATGCAAATAGCGTCTAAGCCCCTGTCCCTTTTCTCTGTCCCTCATTCAGGCCTCAATCACAGGTTCTCACCCTTTCTTTTTAAATTGTTTTTCACAATTTTTCTCTTTTAATCGGGTGTCGAAAAGAATCGTGATGGTGGCAACCAGGCCCGATGAACTAGCGGATTCACTCACTGCCTCCCAGACCTGTCCACCGCTTCTGAGAAAGGACACCCTCACACACACTCCTTACCGGCCCAGTGTCTTGGGGAGAAGGCGATCACGACTGCTCATGCCAGGAGAAAGCGACAGCGGCCCAGGTCGGGGGAAAGGCCGTCCTGCCAGACGAATGTTACCAACCCCACCAGCCGCCTGGACCCAACGCCCGAGAAGCCGACCGAGCCCACAGCAACCATGGCTTCCCTGGGCCCACGTACACCACGCACATCACTCTAAATTACCTCCAGCAACAGACCTTCAAGACTGATTTCCACCCCGAGGAGCCAATTAAGGCACTGAAAGAGAAAATTGAATCTGAAAAGGGAAAAGATGCCTTTCCAGTAGCAGACCAAAAATTAATTTATGCAAGCAAAATTCTCAAAGATGAAACTACCCTCAAAGAAGACAAAACTGATGAGTAGAACTTTGTGGTGGTCGTGGTGACAAAATGCACAGCAGAAGCCACTTCAACACCATCGGCAGCTAGCTACAGCTCAACAGTCAAATCCTGCTTACAATTAGTTCAACTACCTCAGCATCTGTGGCTCGAGACCAACCCCCTTCTCAGGCCTTGGATCCCACCTTACATCTTCAGCTGTCACTCCCACTCCAGCTGCAGCAGCTTGTGAACCTAAACCTACTGATGATTAGGTACTGATAAGTACTAAATAGTACTAATAAGTGAACCTATACCTACTGATAAGTAGGTACTAATAAGTACTAAATAGTACTAATAAGTGAACCTATACCTACTGATCAGTAGGTACTAATAAGTACTAAATAGTACTAATAAGTGAACCTATACCTACTGATCAGTAGGTACTAATAAGTACTAAATAGTACTAATAAGTGAAACTATATCTACTAAAGAGTAGGTACTGATAAGCACTAAATGGTACTAATAAGTGAACCTATATCTACTAAAGAGTAGGTACTGATAAGCACTAAATAGTACTAACAAGTGAACGTATATCTACTAAGGAGTAGGTACTGATAAGCACTAAATGGTACTAGTAAGTGAATCTATATCTACTGATAAGTAGGTACTAATAAGTACTAAATAGTATTAATAAGTGAACCTATACCTACCGATGAGTAGGTACTGATAAGCACTAAATAGTACTAATAAGGGAACCTATATCTACTAATGACTAGGTACTGATAAGAACTAAATAGTACTAATAAGTGAACCTATATCTACTAAAGAGTAGGTACTGATAAGCACTAAATAGTACTAACAAGTGAACGTATATCTACTAAGGAGTAGGTACTGATAAGCACTAAATGGTACTAGTAAGTGAATCTATATCTACTGATAAGTAGGTACTAATAAGTACTAAATAGTATTAATAAGTGAACCTATACCTACCGATGAGTAGGTACTGATAAGCACTAAATAGTACTAATAAGGGAACCTATATCTACTAATGACTAGGTACTGATAAGAACTAAATAGTACTAATAAGTGAACCTATATCTACTAAAGAGTAGGTACTGATAAGCACTAAATAGTACTAATAAGTGAACCTATATCTACTAATGACTAGGTACTGATAAGCACTAAATAGTACTAATAAGTGAACCTATATCTACCAATGAGTAGGTACTGATAAGCACTAAATAGTACTAATAAGTGAACCTATATCTACTAAAGAGTAGGTACTGATAAACACTAAATAGTACTAATAAGTGAACCTATACCTACCGATGAGTAGGTACTGATAAGCACTAAATAGTACTAATAAGTGAACCTATATCTACTAATGACTAGGTACTGATAAGCACTAAATAGTACTAATAAGTGAACCTATATCTATTAAATAGTAGGTACTGATAAGCACTAAATAGTACTAATAAGTGAATCTATATCTACTAAATAGTAGGTACTGATAAGCACTAAATAGTACTAATAAGTGAACCTATATCTACTAAATAGTAGGTACTGATAAGCACTAAATAGTACTAATAAGTGAATCTATATCTACTAAATAGTAGGTACTGATAAGCACTAAATAGTACTAATAAGTGAACCTATATCTACTAAATAGTAAGTACTGATAAGCATTAAATGGTACTAATAAGTGAACCTATATCTACTAAATAGTAGGTACTGATAAGCACTAAATAGTACTAAAAAGTG